CATTTTACCGAAATCTGCTAGGCTCTCTCGCTGAAGCGTTCCGCACAGCACACCCAGGCATAAAACTTTTAAGACTTATTTAAATATATCAAAGCAGCGAATAGAGAGAGAGAGCCTGGGACTAGGCTGGTGAAGTTGTACATGTTTATTGGTTTTATTGGTTTATCTCAAATACTCAGATTTATATCCCAAAGAATATCTCCCCCGGTAATGCTGAAAATACCAATATAAATTGACTATAAAACTGGTCTACAGCAGGGGGGTGCCTCTTTCAGTACTCTTCCTGCGATACATTGTCAAATTCTAAAATCCAACATGGCGACTTGTCAAGGAGCGAGTTGTTTCGGAATGATATTTTCAAGTCTTAATTATGGATTTTACAGACGTTTAATTCCGCAATCCTGTAATATTTTAGGAGGAGGTTTTTCTAAGGTATCAGTTTCATCTTACACGGTTTATGTTTTTGTACTGTACACTGAACAAACGTTTGCAAATATTAAAATATATAAGGGTACAAATTGTCTGAAATTGACAAATTCTCCGACCTGAGTTATCGATTTTTCATTTGAACCCCAGAAATCTTCATGCTCAAATTAGTCTATAACGAAAATTTCATGATGATTGAACAGAACATTTAGGAAGTGAGTTACAGCATTTTGTTTTTACTATAGAATAGATTTGTTTTTCACTGCATCAGAAATTTCATACAAATGACAAATCTATAGCAATAGATCTCAACTGGGATCGGAAAATAAAATTCATAACAGTTGCCACTGTCAGGAATTTTGAAACAGTAATTTGTACCGGACATCATACATACAAATACTGATAGCTGATAATTGGCTTGGATTTTAAGACCCTCATATATTACTAATTATTATTGATTATATTATATTATCTATGATCATATTGATTATATTATCTATGATTATTATATTATCTATGATTATATTATCTATATTAAAGATTATATTATTGATTACATTATATTATCTATGATCATCTATGGTGTTCCTCCTTAGGTAATATTTACAGCTGATATTTCTTTACTTTCAGCAAGGAATGTTGAACTCATCTCGCTCGATCACATTGCTCACAAAGTTCAATGTTGTTGACAACAGTAAACAGGGCCAACGAACGAAGAGATATAAGAAAGCATATGCAATTGGTTTCTTTAAAAACAACAAACGACAAACAGCGGATATTGGCGATGTCATCAAAGTTGCGGTGCGGGGGCAAACATGCAATGCACTGATCGTGGGGTCAAGAAAACCAAAAGGCAACAATATGGTACCAAGATACGACAATAATAATGTCGTCCTGCTCGATGAAAATTTGGCACCTCTTGGGACGAGAATACGAGGACCGATACCAAATATATTACGCAAGCAAAGAGACAAGTATTCTAAAGTTTTAGCTATTGCATCAAAGTTTACATGACAATGCATTATATATTAATATTATGGTGGATGTGTGTTATCAATTACTTTGTTAGAAGGAATAGTTGCAGACCTTAATTTTGCAGGGCACAATCACTCCCAAGCGTTTACATTGCGCATCTTAGCGAGCTCAACTTGTGTTCTCAAATTTTCTATTCTAGCTATCAAAGTGGGCTTCGTACAAAATTGGAGGTCTGGTATACCCGTATACATATATTTTACAAATTGTAAAATTTGCTAATAATTATTAGGAAGAAATAAAAGTTTATAAGACACACTTGCTCGTATGTTTCATCCCTCAGGCTTAGGGACTGTTTATAAGGAAGCCCACTTAGCAAGACAGCCCTGCAAGCAGGATGAAATTCTCTTGTGTTCATATGAGAAAATTTCATATGTTCATAGGAGACAATTTTGTTGTTTTGACATTATTTTGACAGTTGTTAAAAATAGCATGCGGGGGGCATCTTTAAACTTTGTCCATATAAACGCAAGGTAATTTTTGCTATAAAAATAACTACTTGCTTACCGGGCTATCTCGCTAACCGGCACAGCCCCGTTTCTATATAAACAGCCTCTTAGTGACCTTTGCAATGTTCAGTGAATTTTTATTTCTTAGCAATTATCATAAAGGCGCTATAATTAAGCGACCACCTGATACAACTGTTCTTAGACAACCTTCGTTTCTCCAACGACTCTTTGCGCCGAGAAGTCTCTGATTTTAAAATTATTAAAATATCAAACATACATCCTGGGCATTAGTAAACGCTGATTCGCAAACAGTGTACAAGATAAGATAGATCCAGACTATTTCACATTGACAACTAGCTGCGCGCGAGAAAAACTTCTTTACGTTGGACAATTGTAAACAATGATAGATTTGTCATCTGATACGGAAACCACTTTCGTTCCACTTTGGTTGTATTTTACGCACCAAACCTAGAAAAATATTGAAAACATTTTGTCCCTTAATGGACAACTTGCATGTTAGACTAAATTTTAATCTAAGCAAAGAGAAGGGAATCAAACTCCACAGCTAAGAAGAACATAATGAAACTAGTAAAATTGCAAAATTTGGTTGCGAAATGTTGTAAAGCTTGGAAAATATAGTCTTGCAAAGTTTGCAAATTTTGTATATGTTTGTATTACGTGCGGAAATTGTAACCATTTTCGGCTCAAAAATGGTAAATTATACAAAATATGCAAACTTCGCAAGGCTATATTTTCCGTATTTTACAACATTTCGTAAGCAATTTTTTTCAATTTTACTAATTTTAATAAGTTCTTTACGGGAATTTACCGTTTTCGCCTAGATCAAAAATTAGTCTAACATGCAAGTTGCCTATTACATCTAAGCAAGGGCCGTAAATATTAATGTCAACATTCACTGGCCTCACTCACTTGATCTGAGTGTTCATAAAATGTATGAAGACATTGTCTTGATCCAGCATCCCAAATCTTCACCGTCTTGTCACTAGAACTACGTAAAATACACACGTGAAATCGCACAAGTTGTTATAGATCTGCAAACAAGTTGTTACAAGATTGTTGTAAAGCCGACATCAGGATGTGTTCGCAATGCTTGTTCCCAGTTGTTGTGACAAGTCTGGAACAAGTTATCACCTTGTTATAAGATCGATGACGGTAACAGACTTGCTACGAGTTGTCCCAACAAGACTAATACAGGCTGTTCGTAACAAGTTGTTACGAGCTTGTTGTCGTCGACTTGTTAACAACTTGTTACGTCCAGACGATATCAGACTTGTTGGAACAAATTGTTGAGAGTCTGTTGACCTCACCAACCTTGTTGCAAGATCAAGTTCTAGACTTGTCAACAACTGCGAACAAGCTGTGCGAACACATCTTGTTGACAAGTTGTGAGATTTTTACTTTTAATTTGTCTGTCTTGATAATGATGCATCCATACATGCAAATGACCTTAAATAAGGCTCCGTTTTCATGAGACCGGAAAGAAGTCAAACCGGGACCATTTTGTTTCGGTCATAGTATTATTTATAATAGATGTTTACATGAGACCAGGACGAAAATAACTCGGACCGGTATCAAGTTATTCCGCCTGCTGGACAGAGCCGACTGACTTCAGACCGGCATGAATTCAGACTGGGATGAATGTAAACACAAATACATTTCAGACCGGTCTCGGTTGTAACCTTGACATTGGAACAACACATGCCAGGGCTCGAATTTTATCGCGGCAATTGCCGTAGAGGGAGTACAAACTGCCGTGGATCATTGCGGAAACGACGGCAATTTTTTGCCGTATAGTATAATTTTTATACTATTCACTAAATTACTATATTAACAATAAAATTAAATTTTTGTTACAGTAATTTGAAAAAATGCCGTGGAAACTGCCAAAATTGCCGTAGACAGCTGTTACGTTCTACGGCAATTTTTTAACGCCATTGCCGTCGATTGATTTCAGGGAAATTCGAGGCCCGATACATGCTAACAAAAGCCATCTAAAAAAGAAAATTGCCTGGCAAGGGGAATAAATTGAAAATGTAGTTGTGATTTTCGTACCGATCTCATGTAAACATGTTGACAATTTCAATTTTCATTCCGGTTTGACTTCGTCCCGGTCTCATGTAAACGGGGCCTAACCGCCTAAGTCAGGACAATGCGATCACTGATCACCTTACCTCGATGCGAAGTGGGAGTTATCCGGTGAGAATGCGACACTGAGAACCCATGATCCATGACCAGATAACGTACCTGCAAGATTTGCATGCTGCCTGTTTTTCAGAAAGAGAAGTAAAGAAAAACAACAACAGAACAGTGATCATTTAAATCTTTCCATATTAAGTGTATTTTCTATACTGTTCCTGCGATGAAAACTTTCTTGTATTCAGTACTCTGAAGTGCAGAGCATTGCGGATAAACTGTGGCAGAACTGAGCCTATTGCTATACCAGTGATCTCAATACTGACATATCTTACTAGCCATGATAAGGAGGATGAGTTGGTAGACTAATTTAGTTATTTCGTAAAACTAATTTAGTTATTTGCTTAAATCTTGAAGATATCTTGTTGAAGAATGAAAGTAGTAATACATTATAATTTGGTTACAGAGCTCACTTGTGTTGCTATCTAACCAATATACACCAGTTAATTTGGATGACTTTAAGACTCCATAGACCGTCCACCATCACCGCAGCCGCCTATTTTATCAACACATCCATCTACTCAGAATAATTCTGACAACCCTGAGTTGGTCAGAAACATCATAGAATAAAGACGATGTAAAGATGAGGGAAGCAAGGTTGAGATTGTATGGCACATAGTAATTAAGAAGAGATGAAGGAGAGCTGGTCAGAGACATTATGGATAACGAAGCTCAAAAGATAACGGAAAAGCTACGTAAGGATGCACTCTTCTCTCCCTCTAGATAAATGGTCCTGGGTAGCAATTTACAGATAGGTTTTAACTATAAACATAGGGTAGAATAAAAAGGAGCAATTATTTCCGCATTGAATGGTACACATCGTACATCTTGATGTGGTTGTCATCTGAGGCAGTGATCAACAGCTGTGAATCTGGAGAAAATGTCAGCGATCTGATTGGCATAGCATGACCTGGAAATAAAATGACAAAATATTATTTCAGAGTTGCTCGTGTCCTCAGTCAGGTTGCAATTCATGGTACCCAAACGATAATAATAATTATCAAGGATACACACATCACATATACGTGATTGCATCAAAACTACAATTATTTACAATATTGTCAATATTTAAACCGTGTAAAAACATACAAATATATACAGTACATGCGCGGTACAACAATGATAAAACGAATAATTAATTTATAATTCATAAATTATTAATTTAGTCAGTAAGTGCAAAACATGCCTCAAATAGTTCGGAAAGAATCCGTCATATTGCATGCATTATGTTCTATCACTTGCTAGCAAATGTATTTTCTGACTCTCCCAACAACAACAACAAGTTCTACCAACCTTCTAACGTGTGAACCAATTTTCCAGTGGCAATATCAAAGATATTAATGATTCCATCAATCGCACCACTTGCTATATATTTACCATCTGGACTCTAAAAAGTTTAAACAAAGTAACTTTACAAAAACGTCGACAAAAAATTGACCCAAAATGTTAATATTATGGCAGTGTTAAACTTACATAAGCAATGCTCATAATAAATTTCCCTCTTGTATCCAAAACACTTTCTTTTTTGCCACTTTCAACTCCAATAATATTTATTTTTCCTGAATGTGTTCCAGTCGCTATGAACTTGCCATCTGGCGAGAAACTCACAGTCCACGTATCAACTTTCAAAATGAGATAAAAATAAATTTTATAAACTCTATATTTTTCACAACTTTCAAAAAAGCCTTGCCTTGTGGCTTGCAACCAGAAGTAATCTATGGACTCTTACCAGGACCACAATCAATGGATTTTATTTGTTTGCCATTGTCAAGATCCCATAGTCTGATATGGCTGTCCATCGAGCTGGAGGCTGCAACTGAAAAATGTATAATACAAATACAATAAAATTATTTTTGGTAGTCATCTTTTTTCCATAATGGTCACCATTGCAAGAATTAGGATCACTCAGTCAGCCACTATGTCATTTGACTGAGATTTAGAAATCCTTACTTGACATGTTCAACTTTGCCAAAATAGTATCTAGGCGTAAAAAAAAATACCTGTGGTTCCGGTTCCCGACCGACCCTTTTTTTTTTCTGCCGACCCTGTTATTTTTTCAACGCGATTGACCGTGCGACCCTATTTTCTCCGGGTGGTTGCGGGCTACTGCCAAAATGGCATCTGTTGTCACACTAATTATTGAAAAAACCATGAAAAAAATATTCAAAAAAAAATTATTTCCGACCTACAGACCCTAATTTTTTCGTGACATGAAACCGGAACCACAGGTATTTTTTTTTACGCCCTATTGCCTTTGAAGAAGGGCCTTTGATTACAGTAGAAGATATGATGTGTATTTACGCATGTGCACCATGGGATACTGCAAACTTTGTAACTTTTTTATTATTTGAAGTAGTTTTTATCATTTTTGTCATTTTAAACCCAAATGCTGAAATAGATATACAGAGGCTGATTAGAGGCACATGCTGATTAAGCCTCCCTAATGTAATATGCAAAGTTATGTTTAGAGAGGCATACAGGTTTCTTTAAAAGAAGATATGTTATGCAGAAGATACATTGGAAACTACCATCATAGGGAGATTTTAATATTAGGGAAAGGTTTATATTAGAGAAAGGTGTTTATGTTAGAGAAAGGTGTGTATATTAGAGAGGTGTCAATATTAGAGAGACCTTGTCCATATTAGAGAGGTATCCCTATTAGGGAGGTGTCCCTATTAGAGAGGTGTCCCTATTAGAGAGGTGTCCCTATTAGAGAGGTGTCCCTGTTAGAGAGGTGTCCCTATTAGAGAGGTGTCCCTATTAGAGAGGTGTCCCTATTAGAGAGGTGTCCCTATTAGAGTGGTGTCCCTATTAGAGAGGTGTCCCTATCAGAGAGGTGTCCCTATTAGAGAGGTGTCCCTATTAGAGAGGTGTCCCTATTAGAGAGGTGTCTCTATTAGAGAGGTGTCCCTATATTTAGAGAGGTGTCCCTATTAGAGAGGTGTCTCTATTAGAGAGGTGTCCCTATTAGAGAAGTGTCCTTATTAGAGAGGTGTCCCTATTAGAGAGGTGTCCCTATTAGAGAGGTGTCCCTATTAGAGAGTTGTCCCTATTAGAGAGTTGTCCCTATTAGAGAGGTGTCCCTATTAGAGAGGTGTCCCTATTAGAGAGGTGTCCCTATTAGAGAGGTGTCCCTATTAGAAAAGTGTCCCTATTAGAGAGGTGTTCCTATTAGAGATGTGTCCCTATTAGAGATGTGTCCCTATTAGAGAGGTGTCCCTATTAGGACAGGGACACCTCTCTAATAGGGACACATCTCTAAGAGGTGTGCATATTAGAGAGATGTTCATATTAGAGAGGTGTCCATATATAGATGTCTGACTATAGAATCCTACCTGTGCCAGAGGCATTTATGTCCACAGACACTATTCCAAGTTGATGCCCTTCAAAATTATATCTCAGTTCTAATTCTTCATTGTTCCTGAATTGAATAAAAAATAATTTATTGCAGACTGCTGCCAATGACAATTTACATGAAAATGTTTCAAAATCCAACAATTTTATTTGCCTATAAATAACATTATTACCATTTCCAGCATTTAACAAGGTCATCAACAGCACCACTGAGAATACTGTCGACATTCTCCTCATTTGTTGTCCAAGATACGCACCAGATACTTTCCTCATGAGCTGTAAACATGCATGGTCTTATTAGTTATTCAAATTTAGTCAGTGAGATATTTATTAACTTCATGAAATAATTGATCATTTTGAATTAGAAACTTATCTTTAGTTACCATCTTTCTCTTTGCATGCCACATTAAACTACATAAAGCAAAGAAGTGGATCAAATAAATCTACACAGGGGTGGGCCTGCCCTCATTTGTTAGAGGGGGAGGTTTTCTAGGGGGGGGGGTTGCATTACTATGGTGAACATTTTTGAAATTTGAAGCCTTACTGTCGTTCCAATTGAAGTGTTGCTCAAATACAGGTATTGATTCAATACATTACCTCGGGCTGACCAATTCATTTCATCAAGTTCCTCGAGATATTCATACACTTCCTAGTATAATTGTAAACTTCCTGTTGAATAGTTTGAATGCACCAATCACCTTTGTTGTTTGTGCAACTAACCAATCATAAATAGAAAGGAAGTGACCAGAAATGATCAAATACTTGGAATTGGCTCTTTCACAGGAAGTGTATGAATATCTCGAGGAACTTGATCAAATGAATTGGTCAGCCCGAGGTAATGTATTGAATCAATATTTTAGCAACACTTCAATTGGAACGACAGTAAATATCATTTCCTGCATTCTGAGCACTGCATTTATTTGTTAAATTTGTCCTCACAGTACTTGTATTTCAGGTAAAAATTAAGAAAAGTGTTATGTCATATGGTAACCAGCCATATTGGTGCTTGGATACTTATATCTTGCATAATGGAAAATCAATCATTTGAATATAATAAGTAGTACTCACAACTCAAAAGGTAGGAAATCTAAATTTACTATGGAATACCAGAATTTTCTAAAAGAGTGTTGGACACCACTAGGGCCAGGGGGTGCTGGACACTAGTAGGAGGGGTCAGACATTCCAACTACTGGAGGTAAAATTTAGGGAGACTGTTCAGTGAATTGAAATCTAGTTCTTCTGGGAAAAAATAATAGAAATTAAGTCTTCTGAAATGGCATTTCCTGCATTTTGGGACTATGTTGTTATAAATGAATATATAAATTGCCATAAAGTAACTTCAAAAAAGATCCGAGACAGACTATTATGTTGCTAAAAACAGTATATTTATAATTTTCTTATAATATTTCCTGAATATTCTGAAAAATCGGGAGAATTTGATAAAAATTGGGAGACCGAGAGGTTGCATGAATTTTCGGGAGACTCCCGGTAAAATCGGGAGAGTTGGAATGTCCGAGGGGTGCGTATCATACCCCTGGTAGATCTGCCTCAGAATCTATAGATTATTTGCATGCCTATAGTTCACTGCCTAGCAACGCTTGTCAATCTGCTAGAAACGTGACATTGCAACAATTCTGAATAAAAAATGTCAAAATTGCTCACCCAATGCTGTATATCAACAACTTTGATAGTTAATATACAGTGACATCAAAACTGCATGCTCATGCAATTATATCTCGGTTGCAAGATATAAACTTTCAACATTGGACAACAAATATAAATGACAACAAACAAATACACACTTTTGTTAAATGCTCAACACAAACCAACAAAAGTGACTATGCTCTATATATATTTACTACTTTTATTAGAAGTTCATTTTATATTATTAATATGTAACCAAAGTATCAAAGTAATCAAACATTCTATTAAAATAGAAAGTAAAAGTGTAAAACTAAGTAATTATAAAATTACTTCATTAACCTACCATATTTAGCCTGTTTGTAACAGCACAACATCAATTGAGAAAGGTCTATGCACTAAAGCAGCCCTGTTTAAAAAACTGCACGCAGAAATGCACAAAAAATTAATAAAAACCTTTTTATTTCGAGATTTTTTGCATGCAGATATTTTGAAAATCTCCAGATATATATAACAAAGGATTTGATTGGATAATAATCAATCGTTCAACCAATCACAGCTAGTGTAATATTGCGAAGTAATCTGCCAAATCTTCTCAAGACCGCAATGATTTATGGTCCTTCTTCTCAAAAAGCAAAAACTTTAGAAAATTTCAAAATGTCGTCTCTTTCAAGAGGAGTTTATCTAGCCCGTTCTGCAGCTCGTCTACGGGCTACAGGCCGTCCATTGATACGTGGCGAGGTAGAGAATGCACCAGGGCAGGTAAATATGGTTTTTAAACATTTTTACTGCCAAAAGTACAGGAATAATTAAATCACGTTCGTTATGAGTTATGATAGTAAAATAGTATAAAATGATACGGTGAAAAGGTTTATTTATGTTGGATGGTAATTGCATTGATTGAAGCTGATAGTATTGCTTGATCTATGTAGAATCAGTGTGAAATATGTTTGCTTTTGCCACAGTCAGGCTCATAAAAATAAAATTGTACTGACCAAATATCAATAAGTGCCCAATACCGTCGGTTGCGTCGAAGATGGACAGTCACTGTTATTATAGACGGCAATAGCTTTTGTATTACCTCAATTTGAAGACGTCGTTACTCTCAATCAGTCGGTGTGAGGCCACTTAAAGTCCTTAAATGATTGGCTAAATCAGATTAGAAGCTGTCAAATGCTTGTTATAAACATATAAGTTTCATGTAAGGCCTATACCGCGAACCTCCGAATATAAGCCCCCCCCCCATGTATAAGCCCGCCATATCACTAACGCTCAGGCATTTCTGAATATAAAACCAATCTACAAGTTTAATGTGAGAATCTATTCTTACATGCAATGGTAAAATTTGCTGAAAGACTTCAGGGTGGAACACACCCCTTACACCCCCACCCCACTTTATCACACTGACACCCCCTACCCTGCTTTACCAATTACCACACTGACACCCTTTATCTTTTTGTAGAATATGCCATTCCAGACAAAGAACAAATCGCGACTACTAGCAACCATGATCCTCTTCCTTGGTACTGGCTTTAGCATTCCATTCATTGGTGTTCGATTTCAGATGGCTAAGAATAGCAGTGCTTAATGACGTGCCTTAGAACTGAGCACTTTAGAACTAATATTGCCTTTTGGCTGATATTGTAAACAAAACTGAATATTTGTTATAAGTTATGTGCAAATTTAATAAAAAAATTATTTTCTGTTCTTAAATTTTATGATATTGTATATTGGGTCCAGTTCCAGAATTAAACATACATATTTCCCCCACAGAGAAAATTGGCCCCCTACCCCGATTTGAATGTCCTAATACACTTGCTATTATCAGAAACAAATTTTTCTCCCCTCCAGAAGGCAGAAATTTCCTCCTTTGGGGGCAGGGTGGATCTTATCTGGGACCCATTAAATTATTGAATTTCAGTTGATTTTTTCTTTCAAACTTCCAATGCAAACCTTTTCAACTAACTAAAAATATAAAATACATAAACAAAAAGAATATGAATGTGCTTTTATTATTTTTTATATGATATCTATCTACCGATCATTAAGTTTTAAATGTCTATCAATTGACAACATTATACAAAATCTTTATAGACAACGATGTTTCTAAAGTACAGTGAAAATATAAATAAAATGTATTTGCCAAAAAGCGGGAACTGTTTTCCTGAAGCTTTCTTGTGTTTAGGTCATTCATTATGAATGTTGGAAAAAAACAGATTAGGGGATTTTTTTGACAAAGTGTACGAGATTTTTGAGGGAAATGCCCCTTGCTGAAAATAGTTTAGATTGGCCGTATTTATATTAGAAGAAGTCTTAAACGTCTCGACGAATTCGCCTTGGTTCTTTAATGAATAATTCCCGCTATTTTTATTGCGTAAGAGATTGAACAAACGAAGCCAGTACGATATCATCGTTATCTCAAATATTATGCCCTGCTTAAACAAGGATGACAGTTGACAGGCGAGGGGTAAACCGAGTCAAATGTCCGAGTCACCGTTTAGCGGTCTTTGTAGTTCAATGACTTACTGCCCTAACTCTACTCCTAACCCTAACACTACTCCTAACCCTATTCGATTGTGAATTTTATTCAATTTCGTCTTTTTTATACATGACTTGGACGTTTGACTCGGGCTCGTAATTGACTCGGATTTGACTTGGCAATGGGTTTGCTGATGAAAGTTTTCTGAACTGATGAGAGTTGACGATGCATCTGGAGGACAAATTAGCAATCTATGCATAATATAACTTTTGTAAACAAAGCAAATTTTGTAAAAGTTTATAATAATTTTGTATTAAAATGGTTCATTTTTGCGCTGTATGTGGTTGTTGTACCCGAACAGATATTGTTGGGGAGCATCTGGAGGACACTCCAAGGATTTGTGACGTCAGTGCAATGGGTCTATTACCGGTCAAACGAGCAAACTCTTAGGGGCGGACCATTAGAAAAGTGATTGGGGGGGGGGGGAACAAAAATAAAATTCGAGCAGGGAAAATAGAAAGAAAAAAAAATTCGTGCACCAGAAATGTCTGAAAAAAAAATTCGTGCAGAGACTTTTCAATAGGGAAAATTACAGGGCCTATTGGAGGTACAGTGTAAGAGTGTCCCCGAAATTTCGAAAATAAGCGTTTTAATAAGTGTTTTAAGAAGTTTTGGGGGAAATGTGTTTTGAGCGCAGAATTGGATGCTGACGTTAGTCAAAGAAAATTTATTTTTTTTTATTTTTTCTTTGTTCTGCAAAATTTTTTGAGTCCGGGGAAACAATTTTCACGCCAAACCCCCGCCGCTCGCCAGCAATTTTTTTGGGGAAAAATAAAATTCGAGCAAGGGATTATTAAAAAAAAAAATAACGGACACAGCAAAACACTTTGAAAAAAAATCGTGCACGTTGAAAATGGACCACCCCCCCCCCATCACTTTTCTAATGGTCCGCCCCTTATGACCTCTCATCAAAATTTGAACTCGAGTGGAAATGTCATCCTCGTTTCACTAATTATACTTATTTCCATATCCATTAAAAGAATTTCTTCGCTGCTGCCTCCTTGTGACTTTTGTACGTAAAGTAAGCTACAAGTGCGACTATTTGTACAACGGTCAGAAACACAAAATAGCCAGGTCCTATGCAGTTCGGTTTTTCCACTGGTGGACATCCCTTATCATTGTCTTTTCCGTGTTCTTTACTTGCAAACTAAGGAAGGAAAACAAATACGTGAAATATTTTGTAATGGTGGAAAACATGGACAAATCAATGAGCAATAGTGGCGGCAATCGGCCTAAAAAGCTCACAACTTGTCAACAAGACGAATTCGCACTGTTTGTTCCCAGTTGTTGACAAGTCTGCAACAAGTTGTTATCATCTTGCAACAAGGTTGATGAAGCAAACAGACTTAATTGCAACAAAGTTATTCCAAAGTTATTCCAAGTCTGACATCATCTGCACCGACATAAAAAAATTTGTTAACAAGTTGATGACAACAAGCCCGTGGCAACTTGGAAAAACTTGTTGCAAGTCTGTTACCGTCATCAACCTTGTGACAAGGTGGTAACAACTTGTTCCAGACTTGTTACAACAACTGGGAACAAGCAGTGCGAACACATCCTGATATCGGCTTGACAACAACCTGTATGGAGATCTGTAACAACTTGTGCGTTTTACGTTATGTTGTTGAATAACTGGGTAACAAAAGTGTAACAATAAATTCACAACCAAAAAAAGGATTGATGGGCTAAAAATTAAGCAAATTTTCCTTTTCATAACTAAAGAAAACTAGAGTTGTCCCTACCTGTTGTTTGGTAACTAAATGATTGACATTTTCCATCATGATTTCCATACTATTTCTTAAACTGCTGATCTCACTCGCTGTGTTACCACCACTATCGTCTCCAACATCTCGCTTCACTACACCACCACTAAGCCCACGCACAATATTTCTAAACGTAATACAACACAGAATATGGTGATATTCCATGGTGATTGGAAACAAAGAATACTCTACTTAACCATAGTCTATCGAAGGGAAGATGGCTGTGAAACTCATTAGAATCACAATATAACTCATTATCTATGTTGGTCAACGTTTATTCACAATTCTGGTTCTTCACGCGTGTGTATTGTATCTTTGCCAAATACGCCAACAGCAATTTCCAATTTCCCTATTGTTCGAGTCACGGATAGGTAACTTTCCTAAAACATTGCTATTGGTTAGTTGGGCAAAAATACAATACACACGTGACGGTGAAGGACCAGATTTATGAATAAACGATTACTAACATAGATCATGAGTTGTATTGTTATTCTAATGAGTTTCACAGCCATCTTCGCCTCCACAGGCTATGATTTAAGAAATAGATAAGATTTTGCCGTTGTCTGTTAAGTTATAGATACACAGTATGACGTCATAATGTGGGAACCATAGGAAGGAGAAACATACAATGTCTACCAAGTAACAGACTATATGTTAGGCAAACTACCAACACCACAAAATTTTATATTTTGAATTACAATAGTAAGGATTGCTACGTGATACACGTGACTCATGTTACGTGGACTCGTGTTACATATAAAGTACAACTTAACATTTCAGTTCAGAATTGTTTCCAATAGCTTCTGAAAATTCTTGACAACTTTTTTTTTCGAAAAATGCCATCACTACCATGGAATTACCCATACGTAAATTCTAAATTTTGAAGGATTTGTCAGAAATATTTGAGGGAACCGACTTAATGTTAAGTCAGTTCGTCAGTTCCTTGAAACATTTCAAACAAATGTTTCAAAACGTAGAATTTACCTTAGCCTACGAATACAGCTGGCCTGATTCATTCCTTCGTCGGACTTATCACGACGAAGGAGTGAATCAGGCCGGCTGTATTCGAAGGCTAAATTTACCTGAGCAAAACTTCTATTGTGATCACAGAAACTTCGAGAGTGTAAACCAGCCTTTAATCTGACTGCTATAAGAACCTCTAGCACTTACTTGACCTCCTCCATACCGCTGGTCAGTTGGTTTTGAAGATTTATGATGCTGTTCACTTCCTGTCTGGAGATAGAGTCTTTTCCTCCACCTCCCAAATTTTCTACGGACATGATTCTTTGAAGTTCATTGATTTGTGTTGTCAAATCACCAGTTTTCATGTGTAAATTACTGCAATTTGAAGGAAATCCAATGAAGACAAGCAAAAACAATTTACTTTCTGAAAAAAAGGTGATCGTCTTCATTTGAAGACCACAAATTACTTTTAAGGTTAGAGCTCGACAACTGGCCTCTATAGGTCAGTTGGTTAGAGCACTGCACCGGAAATCGCAGGGTCGAAATGTTTAATTGTTTTAAATAAGGTGGAACACAATTCCATAGCACAATTCCAACTGCTCCTGGGTATGTCAAATAGGTGTATAAAATTCATAACAAAACCCTTCTAAAATTAGTTGTATATCGAGCGTACATAGATGCCCACAGTTCTGATAATTACACGTCGAACAAATTACTTACTTGACAATCTGATGCACGGCGTTCTGGCCTTCATAGATCAACCTTAGATCTCGATCGTATGGTGTTTCAAACTACAACAAGATAATGAACAATAAAACTGAATAACTGTCAAAATTTCTGTGATCACAGTAGGAATTTTTGCATTGGTATAAATTCTAAGTTTCGAAGGATTTGTAAGAAATAGTTGCGGAAACTGATACAGTGTTTAAACAAAATTGAGCCATGTTCCCTCAAATATTTCAAACAAATCCTTCAAAACGTAGAATTTACTCATGCAAAATTCCTACTGTGATCAGAGAAACTTTGATAGTGTAAACACCAGCCTTTACCGTTAAAATTCCTCGAGTATTTAATGTTCATTTACATACTGCCAGTGCCAAGAATTATTTTACCTGTGAATCGTAGTTAGAATCTGATGGGTGTGCCTTGGCGTACCTGAAATCAAAATACAGTTTTAAATTTTTAATGAGGTGTGTATTTGTGGGTGCGTGATCTATTAAACCACTGTGATTAAACCAGATCTATCCAAAACGAAAATTTAAACAAAACTTAGAGGCCCATTTCCACTCGGGAAAAATTTCCACGGACAG